ATAGGGGTCAAGGATGAGGCTGCATCTAGAGAAGACCAGTGGTGAGGGGTAGCCGAGCGTGGGAGGAGGGGGCGGCCGAGCGTGGGAGGAGGGGGCGGCCGGCAGCGGCAGCGCAGGGGCCGGAGCGGGGCTTGGGCTGGGCAGGGTGCGGGCTCTGAAGCAGGACACCACGGTAACCGAGGAACTGGGAACACGGCGGCCAGCTGCCCCCTTGCCCCTTCGCGCCTCCGCCCCTCTGCTGCCCGCCTTCCTGGCCCCTAACTCACCACAGGGAGCGGCGAGGGGGTCGGGGGACACTCCAGGCAGTCGCAACCCCTTTGCCTCCGAACCGGCGCTGCGGCCTCGGAGCCACTGACAACAGGAAGTAGCAATCGCGGGACCTGACGTCATCACGTCGGCGCGCTGTTAGGCTCCGCCTCCGTCACGCGAGCCAATCGCAGGGCCTAGGGGAGCCGAGGGGCGGGGCCGGCGCGCTCCGGGTCCTGAGGGTCCCCCGCCTCTAGCGGGGCGTGGTCTGTCTGGACAGCCTTACACCCTGTAACCTGGCGTGGCGCGGGGGCCGGGGCTCCGCTCTGGACGCCCGGGTCTTCCTCGGCCTCCCAGCGCAGGGCCTGCGTCAGGTTAGATCCTGGCTTCTGGCCTCCCCTGGTCGCAGCACCTACTCCTTAGCGTTGGGGCGGTCGCTGGGCCTCCTGGAAAGGGAATCCCGCAGGCCTTGTTTTTGCCTCCCCAAAGGCATCAGCGATGAGCCCAAATTAGAACCTCCTGCCTGGCGGCTCTCAGGGAAAACAAACATGTTTTGATCACATCTTACACCCAGGGAGCACCTTTTGGTCCCCGCGGGCATTCTGGATCTGGAACCAGCCCATCAGCACAGTGATGCAAGAGTCCAAGGGTCTCTTATCTCGCCTAACTTGGGCTAGGAAGACACTACTACCCCTTGAGGTAGCACTGAAGACAGAAACTTCTAAACAAAATTCTATTGATGCTCAAAAAAGAGAAGGAGGTCACAGTACCCTAAGGGGTGAAAGAGTGAAATGCACGCACATGGTGTATTTTCCACAGATTTTTCCTTTTTTTCTGAGGCCATCAGCTACAGGGGAAAAAATCTCACATGACCGTGTGATTTGATGATGAAGGCATCTGCAAAGTGCTTTGGGCCTAGAGAAGAGCCTTGAAAGTTATTCTGGAGGAGATGATTTGGATTTGAGTATTTTAGATGGATAGAAGGGGTGTGCCAGGGAAGGGGCTGGCAGAGAAGTGTCTGGGGGTGGGGTGCAGGCCTAGCCCAGGGGTGGAAGGAAGCACCTGGAGTTGAAGAGGAAACTAGGAAGTAAGAAGCGGTAAGGGGCCAACACACACATACGCACACACATGCACACACTTGGAGGCCGGCAGGAAAGGCTCAAGACATTTGCAAAGTCAGTTCACATTCCACTGGGCTGTCAGCTTAGATGTCAAACACTGTCCAGAGTTACTTAAAGCTGGCTAGGGGAACTACAAATCCCCAGGGGACAGGAGCAACATGCAGATTCCTGAGCCCCATCCAGCCCTAAAGAATCACAAAATTTGGGCTTGACCCCCACCCCACCCTCACCCTCTGCTTTGAAGCCTAATAAAATATGAGTATCTGTGCCCTAATGGATTGTGGAAACCGAAGCCCCTGCTGTTTGCCTGGTAAAAACTGTGATATCTTCTATTCCAGACTAGTTACCTGGAAGGTGGGCACACTTAAGAATATTAGCTTAACAGAAGCTAAGGACCCAGGGCCGTGGGGGAGGCTTGGATGCCCAGGCCACACAATTAACAATAAATGGTTGAAGCAGAAATCTCACCCAGCTCTTTCTGACTCTATCATAGTTGAGTGGCCGAGAAAGTAGACTTTGGAGACAGGGGAACTTAGGTTTGAATCCCAGCTCTCTGCCCATACTGTTTGCTAGACTTTGCTGAAACTGTGCAGAGCCCAGGGCAACCCAACATGAGAGTGACCATCTGAGAGAACGTGCCAGTGTGGTATTTTTCACAGTCCACTAGGGAGAGCTTTGAAGACAGAAACTTCTAAATTGAATGTTAGCAGAAGTCACAATAGCTGATGGCCTCTTAGGGTCATGCTGAGGGGTCAGAATGTATTGTTGGGAGTGACCAAAGATGTACTGTCAAGGACTGAATTAGGGCGGTAATTGAGCCTTGCATTCAAGCTTGATAAGGTAATAAACTGACCCTGCATCCAGGATGGGACTAGCTGAAGGTGATAATGAACTGGGCCTCACATTAAGGACACAGCGACGAATCACCCCTTTGAAATCTGAGCTTAGGACCTATGTAGGAGGCCCTTCCCCCTTATTGAGTTGGCAGTAGCTGCGGACCCCACTCTAGGGGCTCCTGCTGCTGTCCGGGAGCAACAAACTGCTTGTTCAGCCCTTCTGCCTCCGGCCTTTCTGTCTTTTGTCTGGTCACAGAAGTTGGAACAAAACATGTATGACTCCCGGGAAGTTTCAAACACTCTCTGACCTTGGTTCCTCATCTGTAAATTGGGGAGACATCAATTGAGATGAGGATTAAGTAAGATAAAATCTTTAGGATATTTTCTGGTCTGTTGTAAGCAGCTGAAGATGACTAGTTGTTTGTTACTATTACAGTTATGGATAATTCTCAGCCTCCCAATGGGTCAGCTCCCTGCCTTTAAATGTTGTGGAGAGAGACCCTCTCTTGTGTGAGCCTCAGATACAGTCTGACTTAGCATCTGATTGCAATCATCAGACCAGTATTAAATCAACTGTCTAGCAAGTATTCTCCTAGGTTCTGTTGTAGGAAGTTGGTTCATCCAACTTTTCTTTTTTAAAAACGGATTAAACAATTTGCATTATTTGTAATGTTAGGGTCCGAGAACTCGATTACCGCGAAAGACAGAGCATCACGCAAGAATGCAATTCGCAAAGTAGAGTTTATTGGGCTGGCTAGCCAGGGTCAAGCAGTTCGCTGCCGGACACGCAGGATTCAGGCCAGACCCCGACCAAAGTTAAGTCAGGGAATATATTGGCCTTGTTGGGTGTTACATACGTCAGAGCTTACGCAGATTCAACTTAGCAAATGGATTCAAAGATTAACAGACGTCACAGCCTGGGTCACAGTTCAACCACCCAATGACAGGTTTCCAGGAATAGATGTCTCATTTCTTGGTGCCTCAGGTCCAATCAGCCTGGGCCACACCATTCCCATTATCCAATCAATTTTAAATGTGTATTGTCCCTCTTCAACCTATCCTGCATTCCGGGGGGTGTGGTGGGGTGTTTGCCTCGGCTAGTCTAGTTTTGCTCAGGCCTGCATTACTTCCTGCATTCCTTCAATGTTACCTCAATAAAGTGGACAAAATTGACACAAGCTATGCAACTTCAATCGGCAGACACGATATGGATGGAGGGGAAATGCTCTGAAAAATCAGACTTTCCACGCTAACTTATGTTATGAACTCCCTTTTTTGTATAATCGTAATATCAAAATATTCTAAACAACCTTCAGCTTACAATTGGATTGCCTCAGCCTCATAAGGCGCTACCTGGCCCTGACAAGCAAGCGCTGCAGTAGGGTGAGAAATTCCTCTTGAAGTCAAAAGTCATTAAACAACTGGCTGATTAATAAAAGCAAATGGCTGTTACTACAGTCTCTCTTACTGCCAGACAGAGGAAAATCCAAATCTTATCACTCTACTATCTCACATAGCCTTCTATTCAGTTTCTAAATAACCACTCAAACTTCTTACTATCTAGTCTTTAGATATGGAAATTCACCCAAGTCACCTATTCAGAGCTAATCAGGTTTTCTACCGTCTAGACTTCAAGGAAACTCACCTAAACTTTCTAACAAGTTTTTCAAAGAACCTTACCATAATTTGATTTACAAGAAATTTCCTCTTCCTGCCCTCACTTTACTTTACCCCCTAGGATGTCTTTATGAGAATGAAAGCCCTTAAGTAATAGATAATATTTCAGGGACTTTATTTTGGTTAATCTTCACTGTGGAAAATATAGTAATATTAGTCTTAAACTTTGTGAATCTATGTGCCTGTTTTAACCTTGACAGATTGATTTTAAAAATGTTATAATCTCTACTAAAGGTCAAAACGACCCCCAGACTATTCTTAGAAAAAAGGTGATTGTGATCTCAGCCCCTTTCATATGCTAATGTCATCCCTCTGCCTGCTTGAAATGTATAAAATAAACCTCAGCTGAAGGCAGAGCAGGAAGACTTGCACCAAACTCCTATTCCCGTGTCTTCTCGCGCCTGCTCCTCTTTTCCCCCCTTTTCTAGCAATCTCTGCTGCTGACGCCATTCCCACCTTGAGACCCTGCCTGTTCTGCCCCCCAATAATCCGCATAGGGACAAAGAGTTTCCCACACAAAACTAAAAACACAAAATAACAAAAGTCTTGTTACACATATCATTGATAGTTCACATAGTGCCCGAGGAAATCAATGAAACATCTTGACCATTCTTGCCCTCCTGAGCCCACTCACCCCGCCTGGGTGCCAGAAGGTAGGAAGAGTTGACTTGTAGCTGAATCTTCTGGTGCTTATCTCCATGTTGTTGCACTTTTACTTCTTGATTGACTGATTTTAGTCCCTGTCCATTGACTTACTAGTAACCTTCTCAAGGGGTTAGTTCTTTTATACTCCCAACCCCCAGTCCCTTGAGCGTAGGACACAGTTTTCAGTTCGTTAATGAAAGGAAAAGGCGGAGAGCAGGGACGGATGCCATGAGTCTGTTGCCAAGTTCTGTGACCGGCCACAAGAAAGGAAGGCTTGAGGCAGAAAGGCTGAGCAAGCAGAGTTTATTGCTCCGTGGACAGCAGCTGAGACGGACCCCCTCGAGTGGGGTCCGCAGCTACTGCCCCCTCAATAAGGGGGAAGGGTCTCTTATATAGATTCTAAACTCAGATTCCAAAGGGGGTGACTCATCGCTGTGTCCTTGATGTGAGGCTCAGTTTGTTATCACCTTCAGCTAGTCCTGTCCCGGGTGCAGGGTCAGTTTATTACCACCTTATCAAGCTTGAATGTGAGGCTCAATTCTTTACCGCCCTAATTCAGTCCTTGTCAGTAAATCTTTAGTCACTCCCAACAGTTAACAGCCTTAGGAAGCATGGCTATTGTAAATACTGTTCTCCACGACCTTAATAATGTGCTCTGATTACATGTTTCTCTGCACCTCGGGCATTTAATTTCTCTCTGCTGTTACCACATCTCACGTGCTCAAGTAGGTGGTGCGGGCAGCAGGCAGGGCCTCTCGGCTGTGTGTCCTAGTAACCCCGGGGCGCCTGACACAGCTGCCTGCTAGAGCTTCCCCATGGCT